ACTGATATTGGTTGTAATATTGATTGGCTGCACAGGAATTCCTAAATTCCATGCTAAAAATATGGATACAAATCTTTTTTTCATGCCCAAAATTACAGAATTATAATCACCAATAATTTTACCATCTGAATCATCTCATTTTTCATTTTTGCTGCAAATTCTCTTAGTTAAGTATTGGGTTGGGATCCAGTTCACACATACACATTCATCATTTGATCTGGTATTGTTATTTGTTCAGCATTTCATCATTTGAAAATGAATGTGTTGTTTGCTTTGAACAGCATTATAACTGATGAAATATGAAACTCTTCCAATGGAATAATGTGTTTCAGTCATATGAATTCCCACACAACAATGAGGTGGCATAGTTGTATGAAGGACTATGGCTTTGCTATAGTTTTCTCATATTTTATCATCTCTAATTTATTCACACTAAAGAAAACTCTACCTGGAAATTATGTTTAATAATAATTTGTGGAGTTAGAAAGGCTGTGCATAAGCAGCAATATTGCATATTCTCATATTCCATGTTAGGCCTAGACAACTTTTGCTTATCTTCAAAATGCTAAGCAGATTGAATCTAATAAGTACTTGGATAGGAGAATGCCAAAAAACTAGAGCAGAAAACTAGAGTGATTAAGCAAAAACAAAAAAACAAAACTTAAGAATAAAGCAGTGACAAACCATTCCATACTATTGCCAAGAAAACTGTAAAACAGGTGTATATAATCACCAGGAGTTGATATCAAGTCAAGGAAACCTTGATCTTTTAATATGCCCATCTTTCCAGTTCCATATAAAAATAATATACATAATTTTAAATCAGCTATTTGAATAAGTGTGTTATTTTATTATAATGTTTTATTTATTACAGTACTTCAAAACTCACTTTCCTGGCTTCCTCTTAATACTAAAATTGCAAATTCATATTGGTAGCTTTGTAGAGATGCAAGAAAAGAAAATGTAATGTTTTGTATCAATACGTTTTTTAAGCATGTTCATGCACATTTATACATCTTATATAGCTATATGGGTCCCAAAACAGAACTGGCCCCCAATGGTGAGTGAACTGAAGCTATTTAATCTGTGCCATCAGGTTAGGTATTAAAATTGAGGAACAAGGAAGTGGTGGTATTCGGAATCTAGATTGCCTCTGCTTATTGGCTCATTGTCACTGCCACCTTTGCTTTCATTATATTTACAACAATATTAACCACCCCATGCAGAATAATGAAACATTTTAGGCTTGACACCTAAAAAGCCACAGCAGAAGTGGGGGGAAGGAATAAGAGCAAGATAGCACGCAAACACAGCTGTAGTGAATCCTTTGTAGGGAGAGCCAGATGACCGTACCACTTCCAGAACAGTTGATCCTCCTGCACTTCCTCACAGGGCAGTTCACCTCAATAGGTTCTATGAAGAGGGAGGAAGAGCTCCCCCAATTGCAACAGTGAGTAGAGTGTTTCTTCTCTTCTCTTCTTCATTGGGCAGTTCATCCCTCGTGTCCTGAGCCAGATAGTTTCAACAGCAACAGGTAAAGTTGACAGTTCTTTGAAATATGCTACCATAAATATCAAAGAGAATACATTTCCTTATGGAATTTCCTGTCTTCCCAATATAATTCATCTAGGTAAATTGAAAGAATGGTCCTTAGTACTTTATGGGACATCTATCCAGCCTTACTCCCCAAGAAATGATTTTTTAAAAGGCGAACGAGTACGCATGAGTGCAATTGAAGACCCTACGGAAGATTATGGAGTCGATGACTATTCAGGTAACATTAATTATTATATTTGAAATAATATAACTATTAATATAAAAAGTTTTTTTTCTTGCTCTTTGGTTTTCCTCAACCAAGCCAGAAAACCGGTCTCTAGAAACTTCTTTTTCTATTATAGAAACTTCTAATTCTATTCAATACTTTTTCTTATAACTTACGTTCTTATAGGTATTTTGAATATTTGTATTTATAACTGATGTGAAGAATATTTTACAAGCTACTTTATATTTTCTTTCTTTTCTATTTTCCTTCAACTTTTATTTCCTTTCTTGTACTTTGCTTTTTACTTTTTACTTTTTTCCTTTCTATTGGTTTGTGTTAGCTTTTACCTTTAGTTAAATTTTTAGAATAAAAATTATATATCTAATTCTAGTCAATATTTTCAGTGATTTTTTTTTAACTTCCAAATCAGTTGTGTGAATGGAACCCGAGCTATTTGTTACGAAATAGACTTGAAGTAATTCCTATAAAAATAAAATTACAAGGATTGTTTGCCTTTTTTCAAAGGTCCCTGCAATGCAGAGTGCAGTAAGGTTGGATGTGGTGGACCAGGGCCAGACCATTGCAATGATTGCCTACACTATTACTATAAATCTAAAAACAATACACGGTATGAAACAGTTATTACTTCTCATACAATGTGCATGCAATAAGCCAGTGTGAAACTAGTCAGAATTCCTATTTAGACAACTTTTATTAGATCATACAAGATGGCTTCATTTTTAGTATTATCCCATTTAGCATAGTATAAAACATTATACTACCATCTAACTATAAGTAGTCCTCATTTAGCTATCTTAATTGGCAACCTATCTTAACCTGGCAACTTGGTTGGTAAGTGAAGCAGTTGATAAGTGAATCAGCAGCTGTATTTACATTCTTACTTTGGATTTCTTTTGCTTAACATCTGCAAAGTTGTAAATGTGAGAACTAATCATAAAACCATTTTTTCATCATTGCTGTACTGTGAATGGTTGCTGAAGTTGGAATGTCCATACAGGGGTTAAATATATGTTATTGTTGAGGAATTTAGAGCTGACCTTTGGGAAAGTATGAAAGAGCTTTCATGGAAAAATCTGGACAAGAGATTATATAGTCCAGACATGAGAATTAAATTCAAAATAACCCCACCTAGATTTTGTTTAAAATAAGATAGGACAGAAAGAAACTTGGAGAGACTTTCAAGAGTGATGTCACCTTTTGAGGTAGTCCCAGTCAAGAAAGAAACATGAAGGGTTTCTAGGAATGCTGCTTTGTTGTTGTAGGAAATAACAGAATTTTGAAAGCCTATCTAAATGACACATTAACATAGCTATCTGCACACAAAGGAAGGAAGAAATAGTAAGCCAAAGACATTAAAAGCATGACTTAAGACAGCATTCACTATATATTACTGGGTCAGGGTTCCAAGTAACACCCGCAACGAAAGAATACTCCGTTGTAGCCCTCTGACTTTACAAATCGGTGCCAGAATTCTGCCAATGACCTTCAAAGGCATACTTGATAAATTCCCTAGAGATTTTGTGTCCAGTTTTTGAGACAGATGTAGTCTTCACCCCCATATTCATCACATTGTGTAGAGATTCCATTAGAAAAATCACATATGTTAACAGTTACACCATCTACACAGCAGCCTTATTATTTCTTAACATTCTTACTTATTTATTAGTTCATTTTTATGTTTTTCTTGGACAGTAACATTTATAGCATTTGTTTCACTTCCACACTTTGACATATATCTTAATTCCCATAAAAATATGTAAAATGATCCCTCCAGCATTCCTCTTAGTTTCATGCCAAATCATTTCATCACTTACTTTCACATCTATTTGCTCAGTTGGAAGCTCCTTATTTACCACTCCTCACCTACTTCTAAAACATTTTATTTCAATCAAAATAATTCTGCATTTTGTCTTTTTCCTCTGATTGTAATCATGACTTGGGACTACATTCTTTGGAATATTTTTTGTCTACCCATATATTTATCTAAATTCTACTTTATGCCACTTTAAAAAAATAACTTGAACATTGGAAAAATAACTTGAACTTTGTTCAAGAATGAGAAAGAGTTCAACAAGGTTAGAAATACACACTTGAAACTTTGTCGTGGATGATGTGCTTTTTTAAATCATTTGGACCAATGATACATTTACTAAAAGATTTGCATCTTTAATTTTCGTAAATCATGTTCATATAAAATGCAATTTTTATCTTAAATATTATATATTTACAGTTATAGTGTTCTGTCCAATTAAGATTGGAAGTGAATTGAGGTGTTTATTTAGACAAAAAGAAGTGTTTGATTTATATCATACAGTATNTATTTAAAAGTCATTTCCAAGACATGACACAATACCTTCAAGAGGTTCTAGGATTGGTTAATATCAGTTTTAATAACCTTCATAGCTTTAATTTATACACATATAAAAGGATAATTTTACCATGTGAGATTGAATGGATGGGGTTTTATTCCCCTTCAAGATGCAGAGGATCGGCAAGTTTTAGCAACCCTGTAATGTTTTCCCAAAATTGTTATTACTTAGTCTGTGAAAATGATGGGCTTGTCTTGATTCTGGCAGCTGCTTGGACCAATCCATTTTATCAGAAACTTTAAAGTACAATGCATTTCAGACAGCCATCCATCAGCTTTCTGGAACATTTCCATATGGAAACTTTAATAACTGCTCAGCGTGATCCTTCTTGAATTGGATTGAGGAGGGATTATGTTTAAATATATATTATGTGCGCAATTTTTTAAATGGCAGGGTATATCGGTCTCTTTTCATTATTTATCATCAAAACCAGTTTGAAACATTAAGAGTAGTGCCATTCATGACAAATTAAACTAGATATTATAATATTGAGTGATAATCTTTTCTCAAGAATGAAAAAATGAAATTTTAAAAAAGTGATCATTTGAATAGATTTTGGCTATATTTTTTTGATGGGAGTAATACAAAGAACTTGGTTTTTTAAAAGTAATGTGTATTTCTCCAAATAATCCATCAAATTTATAGATATCACTCGTCAAAAGTATTGCAATTTATTTCTGTAACATAGAGAGTAGTCAAAGTTTTATTCTGAAAACTTACAATGTAAATTTTTTATGGAGTATTCCTTTAGGTCCAGAATTCACCCTGCTTTGGCTACAACACTTTAGTCTGTATCATGATATTTGTATATCATTGATTAATGATGGTTATTAAAGATGTAATTCTTATTTCTTATTTAATACTTTGACAAATTATTAGCTGGATTTGCTAAATTATGTGTTATTGGATAAACCCAGCAATACAAAGGTGAGGGCTGGTGGGAATTATAACTCATAAATTTAACCAACAAAACTCATGATGTATTTGTTAAAGCATGGGATGTATTAAAACATATATATGCTTTGCTTCGAAGAATTATTTCCCAACACCTTTTTTCATTCTTTATTTATCTCATTTCCTATAGCTTTCTCCGCATTCCATTAAACTGATNGTATCTGGTTCTAGTATCGGGAAACCATTGTTCTGCTTTTGTTACTCAAACAAAATTATTTGTTAACTGATTGATCATAGTCCAGCTTAATGCCATCTCTGTCTCTTATTGGTTTTTTTTACAATAAAGAATCTGTGTTCCCAACTGTCCACCTGGTCACTATAGTGCGGACAAGAAACGTTGTAAAAAGTGTTCACCCAACTGTGAAACATGTTTTGGAAGTCATAGTGATCAATGTAATACCTGTAAACCTGGTTACTTTATCAATGAAGAATCTAGAAACTGTATTACCTCCTGCCCAGAGGACTTTTACCTGGATAATAGTAAGATTTTTTTTTACATTGTTCAGTTGTTACAATATTGGAAGGAACTATAAAATCAAATTCCTACATGCAAAACATTCAATACACTGCTGTTCATTTCAGTTTGAACTCTGTGAAATTTTAGTCAGAACTTTAGAATTATATACCAAATAACTCAAATGTTGGTTGAATAGACAGCCTTGAAAATCAAATCAAATACTGTAAATACATAAGCAAACAGATAAACTTTTATTCAAAGCTTGATGAAACAAAGAAGACTGTGTAGTTTTTGAAATATTAAGTCAGATGGGGGTAAGAAAGATCTCCATAGCTGATCATTCCATATTTATAGGCAAGCAGAAAATAAAGTCATATCATAACTATAGCACAAATTATTTTGCTTGTTGTGACACAGTAGAAAAATTGAGTTTTAATTTCTAAATAGTTTAAGATAATCTTTATATAATATTATTGCCAAGTTTCTGAAATGGAGGCAGGGAAAAGATATGGTACGGTATGATATGGTGTGGAAATTTTGGTTATGGTATGGCAAGGAATTCACTGAAGGTGCCAGCAGTGGACATCTGTTGTAAAAACAGGGCCAACAACATGTTAGGAATAATAAGAAATCATTTTGAAAATAGAAATGGCAATACTGTACTCAAATGTCCATATCTAAATCAATGATGCAACTGCATCTGGAATATTGTGTGAAACACTAAAAAAGATTTAGAAGAGCTAGAGAAGGTTCAGAGTAGAGGAACTAATATGATCAAGTAGCTTCCTCGTGAAAACAAGGTTGCTTTTTGTGTGGCTTTTTAGGGCAGAAAGGAAGCAAATGAGTTAGGAACCTGATTGATGAGTATAGAATTATGCCCAGTGTGCATAAAGTGGACAAGAAGAAGCTGTTTCCCTTTCCTCAAACGCTAGAAACAAAGATCACCCTATGGAACTGAATCCTGGAAGAATCAGGACAAAGAAAATATTTTTATTTTACACAGCATGTAATTCTACTTTCCTTACCATGAGCTATGGTGCCATGTACAAGCTTGGCTGGCTTCAAAACAAAGTTGGGCCAATTAGTGGAAATAATGGGGATCAATAGCCATTAGCCTTATGCAATTGGATGGCCGTGATGAGAACAAACTGCTGGACTAGATGCTCCAGGAGTGCAATACTGCAGGGCACTGTTTATTCCTGCAACATTGCAGTACTCTGGTTCTAAAGATAATTTACTATTTCAAATTGAAAAAAAATCATTAGGAAAAAAAATTTGTCTTCATCCATTTTCATTACCCACACCGTAATCATTAGGGAATAGTATATGTCTACCGTATTTTCACCCATATAACCCGCGGGTTATATG